ATATCTACTTAAACAATGTGAATCGCACGTGTTGAAAGCAAATTTCGATTACAGAGGGCACACATAACATACCGCTTCCCTTCATCTCCTCGAGTATGACAAACTTCTTCTTGTCCTTTCCCGTGGGGTTCTTGTACAGTTGCACCAGACGTTGCTAAAATGCGAGAGGTACAAGTTGTATGTAGATGAGGATTCGCAGGCGTGTAAATTCGTCGTACAACGGATACTTTGAAGAATCTAATTTCGCTGAGTACTTCCTGTCTATACGTACAAACGCCACTATGCCAACTCGAAAAATACACCTGAACTCAATATCATTTCGACCTGCAATCTGGTTTCTAAACCGGCCGCACTCCCCAAAAAGCTCTAAACATATGCAGATCATGGTTAGGCCCTTAAGCTACTAAGCTATGCAGTCAATTTAATATTCATCAACCATCTTGTTATGAAGCATCGCCTTCTGAATAGTACAACTACATGAAGTACTTACATCGTGTGCAGCTTCTCTGAAGGAGCACAATAAGTAACACTGCATCCAAGCACAAAAACCGGAATGCCAACAGGATATATACGCATCCCATCAGTAGTCCTAACTAATCAGAGATGTTCGTTGTCAACATACCTTCATCAGTACGTAGATGGCATCGCTGGCCACGTCCTTGATCTTGACGTAGTCCATGTCGTCGTGCACACACAGCGCCAAATTACTGGGCAGTGTCCAGGGAGTGGTGGTCCAGATAAGGTAGTTCACCTCTGGCTCCTCGGTATCAGGGAAGGCGACCACCTAAACAATGGTTTGGGGATAGGGTTTCCAAGGTTAGGGTATCAGGGTTTAGAGTATTTGTGCGTCGATATGTGTGTATTCGTTGAGAGTTTGTAAGTTTAACATTTTTAGGTCATAGAGTCTAGCGGTTTAGTTTATCCTTTACATGTAGACATTGCGTGTATTTAACGAGGTATCGTAGCGTGCATTGTGGAGGGGCCCCGTAGGGATGTACGATGTCTGGCTCAGACACGTTGTGCAAGTATGTCTTTATGCTGGATTCTGATGGCAGGTTGACAGTGTGTAGCTGAGACGGTACGACAACTAGGCCGACCACCCGTGAACTACGGACACATTGCTGCGACTCTTATTTGCTCGTTGATTATTGGGTTGTTGCGGCGTGTCCTATTAGTACTCGGATAGGGCAAGCCAAGTAATCAGACCGCGACTAGCAAACATGGGTTCTGTATTCAGGTCTATCTCAACTATCGGCAGGTAGTACAACACCAGTACAGGCACCATGTACAGTCGAAATACTCGTAGGACATATCAATACTAGATGTCATTCTCCAACCACTCGGGCCAGCAATAGTAACACCAGTGAACACATTTAAAACCCAAGATACTCCATGCGTGGTACTCACGGAAGAACAGCAGCCTGGATAAACAACCTAAAACATCAAGGACAAGAACTCCCTATAACTTACAACTGCGGGGTCTACGACTTCCTTGTAATTTTGCTGAACCTCGAAATTGGACAGGGGCGTAGCGCATGCTGTCGAAACGGCGAGAACCTGAGAGGATAAAAAGTCGCCAATAAAACAGAGGACAAAAAAATTCTAGATCAACGTTGCCATTCAGAATGGAATAAAAGCAGCCCGTTTCGCGCATTTATGATCACATGTACTGTACTGACAGAAAATAATATCGCCGACAGCGTGTGTTGATATCAATAGTTGAAGCAGAGTTAACGGTGCGAATCAAAACTTAGAGAATGGTCTATAGAACGCTACACAGATCAAGAAGTCTCATTATATTGAATACAATTGCACTCATATGAACGGGTATGTGCAAATAGATGTGCAAACATGCATATAACTACATACACTTTAACACCTACTGCTCCTACATACATATAGGTCTCTATATACATATTGGCCTACAAATAAATAATACTTACAATGCCGCACCTCCAGTTAAGAGAAAAAAGAATATGCTTTGGCTATATTCTCAGGTTCACATTGTTGTCGCCGCACAATCCTGGGACAGTATGGACGAGTTTATTCACGATATTGTTACTCGTTTACACAACCTCAGCACATATAACAGTATATAGATGTACTCTTAACGATATCTCGCTGTCCTAAGTTCACTTGCCCGTGATGACTATCATAACGTACGCAAACATAACACAAAATGTTGAACATATATATTTGCACAAGACATACAAAGTACCTATACAAGTATATAGAGTGAAAACAAATAAAACCGAGTATGCACACTTATAAACCAGCACCCAAGCCTCGACACTATACACTGCCGAGCTCAGCTAGCATACCTTGAACCCACGGTAGAACAGACCTTTGTCAAACATCTGTTTGCACACCCACCAGCAACTCTCCATGAAGGACGGGTACAGCGTCTTGTAATCGTTCTCGAAATCAATCCATCGACCGATACGCTGCACCGTGCTGATCCACTCGGAGGCGTAGCGCATGACAATAGCCCGGCACTCTGCGTTGTACTTATCGATACCCATGGCCATGACATCGTCTTTGCCCTGAAAGTGTGTGGATATTGATATAAATGTTTAAATCAAGTGTATGCAACTTGTGTTTATGCAAAGACTACTAATATGCATCACTTCCATCCTATATGTGTGTGGTACTTGAGATCACGCTAATCCATGAATAGCAGAACACCTGTAAATGTGCGGAAAATTCATCAAAATCGGCTTCGCCCTCTGCATTCGTAGCGATCCATTTTTACAATATAGTGTGGAGCATCTGAAAATATGGGAGACTATGCGCGAAAAAAAATGTTGGTCAAAAGGCTGGTCGGAGAGTACTTGTAATCGGATGTTTATTTTAGATTTAGAATACCCCGATCGTGTAATCTCACCTGAGGTGTATATCTTCACATATTTATAGGCACGTTAATTTATATATAAATATATATATATATACATATATACATATATATATACATATACATATACATATATATATATATATATATATATATATATATA